CTTCGTGCATCTCGCACAAACAGTCGCCAACCACTTATTGCAAAGTCTATTCACGATCCAAGTGTGTGTGGAATTTAATGCAAGTATCCAATTCTTCTGGGTCCCCAGTTTTTCTCCTTCGTTCTTGCTTGATGTCATCTGCCTGCTGACTAGGAAAATGATTTGGCATCAATTGAAATGCTTCGCTGAAGCTGTTTTACGTAACGGCGTAAAATTACAAGTTGTCACACCGTACTCTAGAGGAGAAATTATGATTCGTAGATAAATAGTGGTTTCTAACAATAATAGATTATTATGTACATGCTTACCTCGTGTAATAAAACCAATAAATTTAAATGGTGGCTAATCATAAGCTGAGTAAAATTTACACAAGGCAAGCAAAATATGCAACTTGCAATTCCATCTGCGTACTTATTTCCAGGTTTGGTTGACTTTATAATAATTGATTATACCTGATGCTAAAGTAAATAACCTATGAAGGATGTCAATTTTTGTCGTGGTTTAAAGTATGTGGAGACTGAAAATCTTTGAAAATTAAGGATTTCTAACTTGCTATGTATATGCATGTGAACTAATTTCTTGTTTGGAAAACAAAAATGCCAGGAATATATGCACTCACAAATATATATCCTTGTCAGTTATCTGTACTAAAAACCAGTACATTAAACTGAGAAATTAAAGGTGCTTTATGTGTGGATGTACTTGTATGCTAAAATTCCATTTAATGAAACATCCCGGCCCGTCTGCACCATATAAAAGACACACATTTGTGAATTCCTGGTGGAATGAGAGCTGATCAGACTTATCTCCATGCGAAAATAAGAACTGACTTTTTATCATTCAACTCATGCATTTGAGTCCAGTGTGTGCATCCAAGCCGGCAGTGTGTTCTTTGGCTAGGAGGATAAGTTGGAGTTGGAGGAGCTCTAAGGGCTGGTACTTAACACCCTTCCTGCCACATTTATTCGAATGCACGGGCACAGAAGAAAGGCTTCTGGCAGACTGAGAGGATGGAAGTGAGGGAAAAATACTAATATTGCATGACTGCTGGTGGAGAGAATGGGGCTGAAGACAGGAAGAGGCTATTCCTATTCCAATCTCAAATCAATACCCGCATAACGAGATCCCATTGTTACCATTTTACATCGCTGCTAACAGCCTTTTCATTAGAACTCTGCAGCCACAGAAAAGTCAGGCACAAGTCGAAGCACATCACATCATCAGTTCTCTTCACTGACTCTGATCCGGGGTGGGTCGGGTCTGGACCGGAGAAAACTTTTCTTGTCTAAAATTCAAAAGAGTGTGGGTCCCTGACATTAAAGTTTCCTCTCTCTCTCTCTCCAATCCCTTTGACTATCTCACTCAAGTTCCTCCCCAAGTCTCGCATGCACCCATTCCTGTGTCATGAACACCTAACTACGAATCTTATCAAACCCATTCTTTCCCATATTGTCGTTTCCTAAAATTTTAATGTGATGAGGAAAGTACGGCTGGATCTCTTTAATTTATTTCGAAACAATTGAAATCAATTATTGTTGTGTATCGTAACAGATTTGACCTGAAAGCAATTCTACATTTATAATATTTTTCGTCTCAACACTAATGTGAATTATATACATTAATTACATAGACATTAATAAGTGAAAGAGTAATGCACTCGGTTAAAATATGACCAAGCTGGCACCAAGAACTCGCTTCTGGAGACAATAAATATATATGAATGCTTGCATTATTTCGTCAATAACGAAACTTTAGCTGATCGTCTAGTAAAAGGTTCTTTTCATTAATTGCCCTTGAATATTTAAATCCAACAGAGCGAAGGGGAAAGTGGATGGATTGTGATTGTAATCTTTGGTTTCATTCTTTCGATCGACAATTCCGTGCGAGTGCACTTACCCCTTCCAGCCACACTTTGGCTTATGAAACTAACGCAGTGCGCCTTGAGTATAGGCTGAGAATGGCATTGTCATGTGGGGAGACGCATCAGGAGCAGAAGCGTGCGAATAATAAATCTGAGCAAGTTTAAAGAAAATCAAAGTTCTCCATTGGGAAGGAAGTGGCTTAGCCCAAATGCATCATCACGGGATGCCATCCAACAAACACACACGCTCTCCCTCTCTCTCTCTCACCGGATTCGGTTTTCGAGTTTATCCCACCATCGCAACGTAAACTATGCAGAATCAAACGAAGAGCATCCCCGTCGTCGGAACTGCTTCTTTACGAAGTGATTGTGAGTGAAGAGCTGCATCCAAAAGTCATCGTTAATGTGGAAGGCACACATAAAGAGGCAAAACCACCCCTGGGTTTAGTAAAAATTGACGGAACACTGTATCTTGATCGTTTTCCTATTTCCAGCACTTTCCTCCTGGGAGTTTTTCTTCCTCATTACAACAAATCTCACATCTGTGTTTCAACATTAAAGCTAACCGGAGGGGAAATCAGTTTAAAAATGTATGCATAATCAACTTCCTTCATTTTCAGTACATACTTCATGCCCGTCAGTACTGACTCATAAGTAGTACCAAAAGTAGGACCAAAAGTTGTTATGGTTTAGAAGTTGCCAGTTTATCAGCAAGGGATTTACCGACAAGTCGTGGGTGGACTTTCGGTCGTTTGCTTCGTCATCACTCGAGTGATAATAAGTGAATACGATAACCAGCATTTCCTCATATTCACAAGCCAAGAAAAGCGACAACATCCTCAAGTTTTCGTCAAATGTCCGGTGGGAATAGAGTTGTAATGTTGCAAACATATAAAGAAAATTAAGATTAATCAACCCATATACATGAATTCATATATGTATAAGCATGTGCATACTTTTCCAGTCCTGCTGCTTACATACAAATATTACACGATCTGCATTAAACTCTACTCTAAAATGAATCCCATGATTTATTCTTTCCTAAAGCACACATACACATCGTACACAGCTTTTAAGGAGGATTTTCAGTTTTGTTTTCAACAGTGGTGGTTTGATATTTCAGATGGATGAGCTAAATTCGGGCTGAATCGAGGTCATCGCTGAAGTGGAACAACTAATCACAAGAATTTATACGCTGGAAATCCAATGTTGACTTTCACTACAGCAAAGCTCAATCCAGATTTTGGCCAATTCTGTTTGCGATTATAATATGAAGTCAATTTACAGAACGAGTTTTCCAACACAATTCAAACTTTGGGCTGCAACATTTCATACATTACTCGAGGTATGCCACGCTGCGGAAACAACTAGTTTTAAAGGAAGCAGAGATGGAGAAACTAAGCATTTAACTGTCACAGTTAGCATAATAAATCTTAATTTTGCCTTTATGGCAATAAACAGCATTGTTTCTATTCAGCTCAGCCTGTCTTCGAATCGAATTTTGGAACAGAATAGAGATTGCAACATCCAAAATCTTACACAAGTATACTACCTATAGTAGAACTTGGTATGTTGGAAGAATCTGAATCTGAGCAGCTTATTTGTATGTAGGTGTGTCCCTTCAATACGGCTCCGCAGATTATTAAATAATTTTATTTATCGTCTGGAGAAGAATATGAAATAAAATAGAACAGTCTGTTTCCTGACCTTGGCGACAAAAATATTTCCCATACCGACACATCATCATTTCTCGGCCTTTGTTCTCTACCCGTATTGACAACCTGAACTATGTTCCGTCCTAACAAGACTAAATTTGAAAGCGGTTAGCTTTAACACAGATAACACAGACCCACATAAGATACATTGAGCATCCGCTTGATTCATTTAAGGATTACATTTTGCATTTTTATTTTTTAGGGAAATAATGGCAGGTGCTGGTGTAAATAGTGTGATCCGTACAATAAGTAACATGATTCGATTGATTTGTCCAGGGAATCCTGTGACCAACCAACAAAGATTACTGAATGCATGCATAAATGGAACACAAATGTAGTGCATATGTAAATATTCATGTATGTATGCATTTGCTCAACAAGAGTGTACACAGAATCTGTCATTATCAGCAGGACCTAAAATTATTGGGTTGACATAGATGGAAGCAATTATTTTGTTAAAAAAAGTAAAACTCATTTGACATACTTATATTATGAAGGTTCATGCAACTTCGTCCCAACCAAATACTTGACCAATTTTGGCCATGCATATTCGCTAGCTTGAAATGTCCTATAAATCCAAACCTCAAAGATAAGTTTGTTAAAAATAACCTATATTTTTCACATAAAAGATACGGGAATAAATAACCAAGCACTTTGACGTTTGACTGATTTCTTGAAACCCGAATACGCAGCCAGACGAAGACGGATTCCGTTTCTACCAAATTTCATCGAAAGCAATTTATCTTTCAGCCAGCCGGGTGATGTTATCATATGCCTTCTCTCTTCCATTTCGGGAGTCACGTTGCCGTAAGCGGGATGAAAAATTGGAAAATTTCTCAGTTTCACTCGTCCATTTCAGTCCATGAAAGCCTCTCATACACAGACTTGCTCATCACTAACAAGTCTTTCCCTACCAACCAAGCAACTTAACATGAGCGGGCAGATTTCTGACTTGCTCCTCAACTCTTGCATCCTGCCTGTTGGTGGCTGTTATCTGGGCTCTGCTCGAAAGAAAGGATGATATCATGTATCCAATCCAACGAGTGAAAGACAAGGAAAAGTTGGCTAAGGCAACCCAAAGCTGTGTCAAAAGTTCGTTCACAGTTTGTTGTGAGAGAATCCATCCGTCCACCCTCCCATAATAATGATATGGACGGAAGCCTTGTGTGTAAATTGCAGTTCAGAGAGAGAGAGAAAGCTATTGTGAGGAGCTGCAGGCAGGGACTTTCCTTATGGAAATAGGAGCCAAACCCCGAAACCCAGTGAGCATGAGTTCAACATAAAGCAGGAGGCGAGAAGCGACTCGCTTTCCCTGCCACCCTGCATACACACAGCCTGCCACCCACCCAATCACCAAACCCATGGTCTCACTCTTTCCTCCTCACCCAGCACCAAGTAAAATACAAACTAATGCTCCAGCCAGCCTCAGTTCCACGGTAAACTTTGGGCAGGCAAGAGATCCTGAGTGAGATTAACGCTAACCTCAATGTGTTGGCTGTCAACCCAAAACTGCTCCAGATTTCTCCTCTCTTGTTCTCGCTTTCTCTCGCCTCCTCCTCCGCACGAGGAGGAATAAGCAGTCCTCCTCTTACGATAAATCCACACACCAGTGAATAATTTATGCGCGCTTTACCCCCACACACGGTGCGATTATTTCCACTAATTCCAATAACTACGAGGAATAATAGCCACGAGTATGAGTTGTAGTTACTTCGTAATTCGAGATTCGGCTGAAAGTGAGAAAAACTGGACAACTTTAACAATCGTGCTGACCTAGGAATATTTCACAACTGACACTGCATCTTGTAAATAATACATTTATGGTTCGTGCTGAACTACGAAATTGAGTTTGTGGGTGGTAGCAGTTCTCAAGATCAAAGATTGACCTTAATTATTAAACTAAGGGCATTCTAATCTATTTACGAGAATGTTTTAATTAAATCCGACAACGAGAGAATCACAGACAGATTCAAATCACGTAAGATAGACAAACAACAATCCAACAACGACTTTTGTTTGATCCTGTTTCGAAAGCAAAACAGCGCTGGATAATCATCACTTCGCTGTGAGTAGACACAAGAAATTCTATTTTCACATGGACAAACATTACGTGGTTCATTCGTTCGAACAATCAGATTTATTTAATTAAGGTTCAAACTTTTGTCTCTCTTGGCGTGACGCTAGCCAGAAAGTGTGGTTAATTGTAGTGTTTGTCAAGGCGTCGAAAATTACATCACCCAGCAAACAAGAGCTCCACATAATCCTTTGGACATTACCTGGAAAATAAATTGTCAGAATTGGACATATCTGTCACAACTTTAATTTTAAAAAAGGTTCGTTTTACTCGAATTTTAGGTTGCTTTATAGTATAATTATTTTTATTGACGTAGTTTATCTACCCACGCAAGCACAAAGAATCTCATGATATCATTATGAAATAAATAGGCACAACATTCCGAGTAAAATATTCAATACAGGAAAGTCCCCAGTTTTGCATCATTCTGCATATCCACATTCGCCAACAGGATTCAGTAAATTATGCATTCTCAAAATGCAGAGCTGCTAAGCAGGAAGGGAGTTTGTTCGTCAACCGGAAAGGAAGAAAGGAAAGTATCTGTGTAAAGAATATTCTAGTGACACGGGTTCTCCGACGTGGAGTGTCCGTAGAGGAGACACACCGCAGAGAGAGGATGAGGGGATGGAGAAACTTGAGACTGGGGAAGAAAGATGAGGTTTCCAAGCGTCCATCCATACCGTGTCGCTCACTTGTCCCATCTCGTCTGAGAATATGCACGCCGTTGGTTTTCAACAGCACCAGCATATGCAAAAAATATATACGATTTCATCTTTTCCTAGACTGAATCCAATTCAATGTGGTGTTCAAATTGAAGCAATGAATTTTGTTGAAAAGAGATTTCCTCGTTGTTCCAAATTCTTTAAACTTCTTCAACCAAAAGAAGCACTTCCGATCTTCTCAAATGGACTCTGTTCATTCGGATAAGTGAACATTTGAGTTGGTGACCTTAACTGGAGTTGCGTGACTGTCTCGTAGTTTACATTTATTAGAGTAAGAAGACAATCGAATTCATTCAAAATGTAGAAACAACGCCTTCCAAACAAGAAAGCTGAGTGTTTCTTGAAGCCAATATACTTGATTATGCATAGCTTACTTAAGAAGTCAAATATGTGTAGTTTTCTTGAAACATGGTCAACAAATTAAAGTTGAAATGGCATTTGATGAAACGGTGCGTACGCATTTGAAATATTACTACCGCATTGGCTCAATAATGAGCACCTACTACGTATGAGTCATTCAATTAAAAAATGCATAGTACGTTTTTTTAGGCTAGACACCTTTGAAAAGTTGAATTAGCATCCATACTTTCAGTTTTTTATAATCCAGAGAATCTAATTTTGACTTGGCACTTGGCGGAAGAAGTGACCAAACTTTGTGCAAAAAAGGATCAAGAGCACGAACCCACCACTTGGTTTGGCGTCGTCTAATGCGGAAGTACGGTTAAAAGGGATCAAAGACTTTCACTTTGTCATAATGTGGAGCAGACTTTAAAAACCAAGTTTGAAGGAACTTATTCGACTTTCGTCACTGTTTGAGAATAAAAGGGCGCACTAACTTCCAACAATCTTTAATTCTTTGACACCTTTTCCATCTTACTCGGCTTATACATGGGCTGGAATAGAACAAGTAGACAATTGCCTTAAATTGCCTTCTCATACATGAGTATGTAGAGTTACTCTTTTTATCGCATACCTTTTGTTTGGCGTGCTTTCCATACGCCCAATCTCAAAAGAAGAAAAGTGGCACTATGTGTGATTTTTGGGTGCTTTAGACCTGAGAGTGATTTGATATTCACGATAGGAAAAAACTTGATTAAGATTGAGCTGAACTAAACTTAATGGACACAGTTGGGGTTTCTTTATTTGAGTCGACTTTGTCTATACATCTAAAATCCCAATTAAGTCAGAGTATACCGTCACCGTGGACTGCAGCGCAAGGTTGACGGACATATGGAAGCTGTCTTTTGCTGAATTATTCAAAGATTAGCAACGGCACTTTCTCCAATGTCATTTGATTCTTATTTGAATGGAATGCATGATTGCCTTGTCAATGACATATATCTGGGTAGTGCTGAAAGCAGTATGACATACATATGCATAGATCCTGAGCTCCGTTCATAAATGCATATATTTAAATCTAAGTGTCTATCTATGATATCGGGTAGTCAAATCTGATCAAATTTCACAAGTTCCCTGCAATGCACATAACATAATGTATTCCCAAATATAAAGCAATTCTTACAAAGGAAAGTGCATTTTTATTCTGAAAATATATTTAGGTGCCCGGATTAGTACACTTATAACCTATTATTCACGTTTACCTTGTGCATACTTATTTTCGCCCTTGAACTACTGTTTATTTGGGGGCTGGAATAGTTAAATAGCACTAGAACTATTTGAAAAATAGAGATTGTATAATGAGGAAAATATGCCAAGGTTATGATAGAATCTGCACAAAGGTCAGCCCTACTAATTTTGATATTTTGGTGCTTATGCAAAAAGGAAAATTGATTAGCAGGGAATTAAAAGAGCACACGACGAATAATAACAAGATCTGTAGGCGTAGTATCATCAACGTCCTTATCAAGTAATAAACTTGCCCATTGTGTATTACTAACATATATTTTGGTAGGCCAACAGTGGTGGTCGCAATGTGATGACATCGAGGTAAATTGATCGTCAATTACAGATACTTACTGCCCTGGGAGAGCTCATAAAATCGATCCAGCTGATTGACAGAGCTCAGTTTGAGGTTGAAGTAAAATACCTCAACGCGTACGTTTAGATAATTAACGAATTTACCACAAATGGCCAATCCTCAACTGTAACTTGCATGACTGGGAGGTTGAATGAAACAATGGGAAGTTTAAGACCATGGAGAGTGAAATGTTGGCAAATGGAGGTACTGGGCAGTGATGGATTGCTTCAAATGTTAACTAAAATGAGACAAGTGTAAGCGTAACCATTTGGTTCTCATCCTCTCTCCTTTAATGCTGTGCTAGGTAAACATTTTGGTTGAATATCTGTACTTTCACCTTACATACGATATGTATTTATATTGATTTCCCTTATACTCTCAACCATTTTCTTTTAATTCGTTTGAAGGCCAAATAATCTCAGGTGTCGCATAATGTCTACAGCTATGTAGCATTGATTAATTTCGCATGGAGTTAATATGTTTTGACTTTGTGAAAATTTTAGAGAGCATGCTCTCGAGAATCTCAGAAAAATAAAATTACTACATAAATACATAGATAGGTTGCAGGCAAATTCGATCCAGTTTATTTTCCAAATTATTCTGCTCACATATATTTAATGGTCATAAATTACCGGATCTGATGACAAAGTCGACTAGCACACCTTGTTTGCAAGTAGATGTGGCGGTGAATTATAACAGAGGGAGAGAATCTTCACTTGAGCAGAAATGATTTAAAGTCCTCAAAATTTACTGCCAGATAAGTATGTGGAACTGGAGCAGACAGAATAAATGCGGGTGTATGCATGAACGTCGGCGGTGGTATCGTGCCATTACTTACATGCATGTGTACCTAACTAGGCTGCACCACTGCATATCTTGAATCTGAATCTTTAAGAGAGAGAGAGAGTCTCAAAAGTACATGAAGTATTATGAAAGATTCAGGGCAGTGCAGTAATAAGTCAAGGAAACGCGCCGAGGAAACTTTCTCGGGTTTAAATTCTTATCGTTCTCTTTCACGGATAGTCAGCTCATATTCATTCATGCGATACTTCAAACATCAACTCGTTGGTGTTGGTGATGAGATGATGGTGGTGGGTGGAGAAGCTTTTTATTAAGAGTATTATGGCATAGGCGCTCGTTACTCGTTCTTTGAAACATTTTACCAAAAATTGCTGCTAGACTAATATGAACGACTCCGCAATTTCTATTGGTTCGCATTAGTTCTCTGCATGAGGCAGATCTTTCTAATTATTCATGTACATTACTAGCACCAAAATTTTTATGAGACATGAAAAATGACATTGATTGGCCCAACGTTCCAAGGTGTTTTGCGTTTGGTAGGGAAATCATCATGCATATTGTTAGTGAGATGACGAAGAAAAAAGTGCCCAGTAATAACACGAGAAGAGCAGCGCTCGCACTTCACCATATTTTTTCCTCTAGAACGAAGTGAGTTAAATAAGTTGGTCTGGGGAAGTGAAGTGATACGAATTTCTCCATTTCTTATTTCTCGTCCTTATTCTTCCTCAAAACCAGGACAATAATTCACATCCACAAAATGTAAAGGAAAGTTGACTCCAGAGAGTGATAGCAAAACACGACCGTGTGCGAGTCATTTTATGAAGCAGCGTGACGGTGGCGTGTTCTAGTTTTGTATGACATTATTTTGTGCTGACTTTTGCAACGTCTCAACTACAAGTTGGGCTACTTTAGTGGGTTTCGCGTTCTTTGTCATACAAATATAAATAAATGCTCAGGTTTGACGTGACAGTTGAAATTTCAACACGACGAAACGAGAAGAGAGAGAAAAATATGTGTGCAAAATAGAATTTCAAAATATGATAGATCTTTTTTCTCTCGGTTTGTCTACACAACCTGAGAGTTTTTTGATTACTTAGCTTTGTAAAGCCTCGGTGGCCTTGTAAATAAAATCATAAACGTGATTCTAAGTAAATTAGTCATTTAATTGTACTACAAAAATGACACTTAAAAAACATTGTGAAATTACTACAAATGAAATCTATTCATTTTGAAAGTATTTTTCACAATCGCTGAATCCGTACATAAAATCTTTTTTATCGTCTCTATTTTTAAATGGTCAATTTGATTATGTATTGGCCCGAGTCCAAGCTTTCATCAAAATAAGCCACACACGCAGATACAAACCAGCCATAGCATGTCTCTAATTTATTTATAGCGAAACGTGATTTTTTGATAAAATTGCGTCAGACGTCAAACGTTGATTTATTGCAAAAGTTGTAGGCTTTGTTCTCAGAACTTTATGACTCTGCTTGTGATGTAAGTGGTGCTAAGCGTGTGAGTCGCGTGGGGTTGTTGTTCCACAATGGCGTTGAATACGTTAACCAAAAATTGGTATTGAGTTGGCGGATGTTCAGTCATCAGCGTTTCCCAGTTCTTACCAATCTGCTAGAGCATGTTAGAAGTTGTCTGAACTTATTAACTGTTGCCAACCAATTCCGCTGATCCGGCGAGAACTTAAAGTCATCCGTGCTGTTGGCCACCACAGTCGACCCTTGCAGCGGCGAGTCACGTAAATTG